ATATTTTTTGAAGGGACTTTTGACCTATAAAAGATTTGAGAAGCAACTAAGGCAAGAAGACACAAGAATTTATCAAGATTTCAAGCAATAATCGGTGCAATACGGGAGTTTGTATCGAATCATTAGCATTGATGTTTTCTATATTTTTAAACCTTATTGAGATGACTTTTTCCATTGCTATGGAGTAATTTTCCTTAGGGTGTTGATAGATATGGTGTATTGATAACTTGATTAGGGATTCGCTTATTGACAATTATTTTGAATTAATTGATGAAACTTTAAATCATATTGTGAAGTTAGTTATTATTTTGCTTAATCGAAAGAGGAGCTTGATATTGAATTTCTTTACATCTTTTGCTCTAGTTTAAATTCGCGATTCAAATAGGTAATGAAAAGAGCCTCTTGAATTGCTAATCGAACTAGAAAATAGGAAAATATTCGTGAGAAGTTTTACCCTTTAGACCATAACCATTATTTTATTCGTTGCAATTATTTATCGTGCTTCAATATGATTAATTACTGAAATTAACGTTTAATCGAAAGAGGAACATTAACTTCAAGTGTAATATGATTATTTGTTGAATTCGTGAGAATCAACAGTATTATGGAGTGAACTAACTCAAGAATTGGATCCCGAGTCAATTGTCTTGCACCTATCTAGTCAATTACTCTTACTTCTCTCATTCATATCTCTTTGTTGCTCAAGTGTTGTCTTTCGTGATCAATTGACAATTGCTTAATTTTAGTAGTTAATCTGTCACGACCCAAAATCCTAACCTGTCATGATGGCGCCTATCTCGATACTAGCAAGCCGATAATATCAATAAACCACAATTTCTTTTAAGTTTGAAAATATAATATTTAAATACAATACAAAATCTCACAAATACTGATACGAACACTCCCCAAAATCTGGTGTCACTGAGTACATGAGCATCTAATATGAATGCAAGTCTGGAAAAATACAGTCTATAATAGTCTAAGACCAAAATACGGTAAACAAGGAGATAGGGAAGGAGAGACAAGGTTTGTGAAATACGGCAGCTACCTCTGAATCTTTGGAAGATCAACTATACGAGAGAATCAACACCCGCTATGTCCAGAAGCACCTGGATCTGCACACGGAGTGCAGGGTAGTATGAGTACAATCAACTCAGCAAGTAACAATAATAACTAAGGAACTGAAGATAGTGACAAGCTACACAGTTATAGTTCACTTTCAGTAATTCCAGCAAAGAATAGACATGCTTTCAAATCCAGCAGTTTAAGTCAAATCAATTTTATAGTTCATGTTCATGTAATCCGATATAGAATCTTTCAGAGAATTTCACAACAATGATAGACAGCAACTAAATGCAACAACAAATGAAAAGCAAGTACAGCCTCTCAGGGCAACAGTCACTCAACTCTTCATAACAGTTCAACCACTCGGCTCTAAGCCCTTAACACTCACACTCAATGGGTACTCGCGCTTACTAGGGGTGTACAGACTCCGGAGGGGCTTCTACAACCCAAGCACCATAATCCACACTGACAACTCACGTACTGCACGGACAACTCACGTGCTATAATATCTTGCGCAGATAACTCACGTGCCATATATCCTTACCTCACCGATAGGCCCTCGGTCTTACTCAGTCCTCAACCTCTCTAGTCTCTCGGGCTCTCGTAAATCACAAAGATCAGCCCAAAAAAGATAACATAGTGAATCAACAAATATCAAGAAAGACTGAGGTATGATGCACAAGTAAAATCATGACTGAGTACAAGACAGCAATTAGCAAATAATTCAACAAGTACGCGACCTCTGTGGGTCCCAACAGTACTAACACATAGCCTAAGCATAATTTTTAACATGATTTACAGTTAAATTTCTTCAACACAAAGAGAGCATATAGCTAACAACAAGTTATTCAACTTTACAGTTTCACGGGACTGACCAAGTCACAATCCCTTCGGTGCATGCCCACATGCCTGTCACCTAACATGTTCGTCACCTCCAAAATAATCACATGACACAAAAATTCGGGGTTTCATACCCTCAGGACTAGATTTATAACTACTACTTACCTCAAACCGTGAAATTCTTATTCCGCTAAGCCTTTGCCTCGTGAATTGGCCTCCAAATGCCTCGAATCTAGTCACAAATAATTCGATTCAGTGAATAAAATTTATTGGAATTAATTCCATAAGAAAATGCAAGTTTTCATAAAAATCCGAAATTTAGCTCAAAAATCGCCCGTGGGGCCCACGTCTTGGAACCCGACAAAAGTTATAAAATTCAAAAGCATATTCAACCACGAGTCTAACCATACTAATTTTATCAAAATCCGACATCAACTCGACCTCCAAATCATCAAATCTTATTTCCAAATCCCTAAGTTCAAACCCCCGATATACACCTCAAAAATATGTAATCTAGTCGGATTATTCGATGATAATTCAATATTATGGAGTAGAAATAATCACAAGGAACTTACCTCAAGTTTTCCTCGAATTCTCTCTCAAAATATCCCCAAAAATTGTGCTTGAAGGTCTAAAAATGGCAAAACTCGGAACCCCTTCGAAATGTATACTGTCCAGGGATTCCGCACCTGCGACTCACTTAGCCGCTTCTGCGGTTTCGCCAAGCCTCCACTAGAGCCACTTCTGCGAGCTCGTATTTGCGAGGCTAGCTCCGCTTCTGCGGAAAGCTCGCTTTTGCGATGGCTGGTACGCACATGCGGCTTCGCACCTGCGATCAAACCTCCGTTGGTGCGAAAATACCAGAAGCAAAAGTTCCAGCAGTGGTTTTAAGTCTGAAATTGATCCGTACCTGAGACCCCCGGGATCTCAACCAAATATACCAACTAGTCCTAAAATATCATACGAACTTAGTTGAGTCTTCAAATCACATCCAACAACACTAAAAATACGAATCCCACATATATTCAAGCTTAATGAACTTTGAAAATTTCAATTTCTACAAACGACGTCGGAACCTATCAAATCACGTCTGATTTATCTCAAATTTTGCACACAAGTCATAAATGACATAACAGAGGTATTTCAATTTTTAGAATCGGATTCCGACCCCGATATCAAAAGGTCAACCTCCCGGTCAAACTTTCCAGAAATTCAACTTTCGCCATTTCAAGCTTAATTCCTCTACCGACCTCCAAATAATTTTTCGGACACGCTCATAAGTTCAAAATTACCATACGGAGCTATTGAAATCATCAAAATTCAATTCCGAGGTCGTTTACAGATAAATCTACATCCGATCAACTTTTATAACTTAAATTTTCAATTATGAGACTAAGTTTCTCGTTTCACTCCGAATTCCTTCCGTACCCGAACCAACTAACCCGGTAAGTCATAGAACAATTGTAAAGCATAAATTGAGCAATAAATGGGGGAACGAGGTTATAATGCTAAAAACGGCTGTCAGGGTCGTTACATAATCGTAGTTAATAACCATTCCATCAAGTGTTAGTTTTCCTGTATAGTGATTAACTAAAGATTATTCGAACACTATTTAAATCCAATCCTTGTGGAGACGATAATTAAACTATACTATCTTTGACTAGCGAGCAATAATTTTGTGTTGTGTTTTGCACTCGTTAATAGTTCATGACATTTGATTTCTAATAATATTATCTCTAATTAAGGGTGGCAAATGGGCTGTTTGGGCTGGTCAAGATGAACTAAACAATGAATTATAACCCAACCCGACCAAATTGACCCAAATCATTGCATTATTCTCAACCTTTAAAACAAGCATATATAAAAATTATAACTTATATTTTGGATTAAATGTCAATTCTTGCCAAAATAATTTCTTTCCTCAATTTGAATTTAGAATTTTATTTGATAGTTCTTCATCTTATAATATTAACAAAGATCAATAATAAAAAAGTAGTAAAATTAGACCTTCCCACCAACCCCAACCCCAACCCACCTCCCACTACCCAACCCCTACCCTACCCCTGAATTCCCACCCCCACCCTAAATATAAATATTATTTAGAGTATTTTCTTTTAATATTGTAGATATAGTATTTTCTTTTTCATTTCAACAAAAATGAATATTTTCTTTTTATGATGTAGAAAGAGTATTTACTTTAATTTCAATAAAATAAGTACTTTCTTTTCATGATGTAGAAATGTATTTTCTTTTTCATAAAATGAGTACTTTTTTTTCATGTTGTAGAAAAAATATTTTCTTTTGTTTCAACAAAAGAAGTACTTTCTTTTCTTGAAGTAGAAAAAATATATTCTTTTAATGTTGTAGATAGAGTATTTTCTTTTTCATTTCAACAAAATAGAATATTTTCTTTTTATGTAGAAAAAGTATTTTCGTTCATTTCAATAAAATAAGTACTTTCTTTTCATGTTGTAGAAAAAGTATTTTCTTTTGTTTCAATAAAAAGAGTAATATGTTTTCATGATGTAGAAAAAGTATTTTCTTTTTCACAAAATGAGTACTTTCTTTTCCTGTTGTAGAAAAAGTATTTTCTTTTATTTCAACAAAAAGAATATTTTTTTCTCATGTTGTAGAAAAAGTATTTTTTTTTCATTTCAATAAAATGAATACTTTCTTTCTGAGGATATCAACCAAACATGAAAAAATTTAAAAATATTTTCCTAAACATGGGTCAGAGATATAACTCTAAGATTGAGCACTTCCATGAATGGCATCATTATGGATCCATTTGGGCTAATGATTTTTATGGATTAACTTGGGCTAGCCCAAAACAACCAATTTTCAAAGTTATTCTAGCCCAAACCCATTAAAACTTGAACAGATCAAATAGATTTGGTTAGTTTTGCCACCCCTACAGTGTCTGATGTTCTTTTTATACTGTTATTTTCAAGCAACGAACAATAGTCTAGTGTAGAATTGAAATATCATTAACGTTATGATTTAATTTCTCTTCTAATTTCTTTCTCTTTTTGCTTCAATCTGGATTATCATTTTCATGAATTACGATTTTACAAGTTTGGCTGAGAGAATATAATTTTAAACGGCACAAACCGAAATCGATAAGTGAATAACCAAGCCATACCTACCTAACTTATCTCGATATGGTATTGATATAACATTTTAGAAAGAAAAAAAAAACTACCGAACCAAAATCTTTCAAAACCGTACAAAACCGACCAATGCAGAGCTCTGCCAGATTAGCCCTGATTAATGAGTGACCCTCCAAAGTCCTTTATCTAGCTAGTACCATATTGCCATGTAAATCATCCGGGATAGTCTTCAACTACCAACAAGTAATGGATTTTTATTCTGGTACATGTGATATCTTTTGCAGAGTTTCTCTAGTGTTGCTACAGAGTGCTGCATCTTATTGAGTTTCGTGTCCATGAACATGCTCTGCAGGGGTAAAAACCAGTTTCCAGTGAGAAGTAAACAACAACGCTAACGCATGTTAAATGATTTTAAAGATCCACATCACTACCTGAAAATGATCTCCATACTTCTCCACGAGTCTGCCAATATGAACTCGTTGTATGGAAGTGAGTGGTTGCAGTGGAGCACTTTTTCCATCTCTTCGCTTCTTCCCAAGTGCTGTCTTAAGATCTATAGTTCAAAAGTATCACATGTTAACTGTAGGGGATATTGAATGACATGATAAACAAAAACACAAGGATCAGAAACTCTAATAAAACTTAAATTGACTTTGCTGTTGTATACACTATATAATAATAGGTAATGCTTTATACACTATATTCAATCAAACTCTTCATATTCATCATGTCTGCATGCGGTAGGAAGAGTAAACAGAAAGAAATTACTTTAATTCCGCAAAAAGAATTTGTTGTTCATCTTAAACGAATATTATTTTCCATATGCAGAAAGATAGCTCAGCTGGCCTTTTGCACTATCCCTCTAGCAATCCCTCTTTCTCTCCCACTCTCCATAACTGAGCTCCTTACCAACCTGATTGGCAGCTTCTTCTCTATGAAGCAAAGATTGGGCATAATGCTTTCAGATTTCTAATTGACATCACAGATAACCAAATAACACTAAGCATGAAATCCTAGCTTCCAATTATCATTTGAAACATTCTAGATATGACATAAGGCTCTATTGCAGAAGGCTACATAATGATTTCCTCCAAAGAGAAAAGGAAAAAAAGGACCTAAAGGTATTTTTCTTTATCAGGAAGGCTAGCACTTCCCTTCATTATTCGTACTATTCTCTTTCTGGTGACGCGAGTTACGTAATTGAAGGCCAAAAGTACAAAATGTATGCTTTACAAAATCCAATAGTCATCCATTATGGTAACTCAACTCAGAAGCACTCCAATGAACTCAACAACGAAGCTAAAGAAATTTTCCTCAGTAACCAGACTCTATGTCTTATCAGACCTCCTCATACGTCAATAAATAGTGCAAAATTTATGAATTTAATATATCAAACAATGCTAACATTATGACATTGCAACATCCCATCCTCAACTTAGTTCAGCTCATACCTTAGTTAACTACACAGTTTCTCCAAAACAACCAAAATAGCAACACCAACGAGTTCAGGATTAAAGCTTAATTATTGTTACACTTACATTAGGTCCTTGTTCTGTTATTTATGAGGAGTCCTTTAGTCCAGTTAGAGACTTGTATGTCATTGCAGGTTAAATTGTGAAACTTAGAGCTTCTAGTTTTAGAAAATCCTAATTTTGCCTCAAAAGACTAATTATTTTAGAATTAACATGAACAGAGCTAAATGGTTACTAAGCAGTATTTCTTTGGTCCACCCAACTAGTTCGAGATTGAGGCATAGCTAGATTAGCAAATAAATTCAGATAGTAACAGCAATTTAAGAGAAAATTAAAAAGCAGACTGACCATCTTCCTCAACTTCACTGCCAGAATCATCCAGCGCCTCAAATGCATCGGTGGCATCATCAGAGGGAGGTGGCTGCTGCGGCGGCGGAACCTGAAGAGAGTCGGTTTCAATCATATGAGAGGTTCGGCAACGGACACCAAGCAAGTTAGGGTTTGAAACGACGCCGAATGACTTGTAATTGTCGATAACGCTGCCCTTGTCATCCCAATGAGAGTTCACCAATGATCGGAGCTTCGGCGGGAGAGTAAACGCCGGTTTGAATATATTAGGGTTCTTCTTTGGTAGACCGACTCGTACTTTCGGCTTTGATCTCTTGTACTTTCGCCGTGAACCACCCATCTCTTCTGTTGAAAGTGCGAAATAGAGGCTAGGGTTTAAGGGGAGACTCGGAATGCTTGATAAACCTTTCGCCCTTTTGATTTTTTGGAGTGAAAATGACAAATATGGTCCCCCTTTGTTTGGAGTAGATTTAAAATAGCCCCTTAAGTATACTTTTGAATAGTTTTAGTCATTTAAATTTGCCAAAAGTGAGGATTTTTTGTCTCCACCAAATATTTCATAAACTTTTATTGTTAGATTTAGTGGAACATGAAAAATACTTTAGCCTAAAACACGAAGAAAACAATATCAGATTCCAAAAATTGCAACACCCAAAATCGTACTAGACAATAGAAATAGATTAAAATATCAAAAACTGTATCTCAAAGTTGCATCTACATCAAAGATAAATGACAAATACTACATCTCAAAATGTGAGTTTTCTTCATTTTTTTATGAATCTCATTAAATCGAACTATCAAAATTTATTAATAATTTACAAAGACCAAAATTGCTCAAAGATTTGTGTGAGACTTTAAATCAACATTAGTCATCAATATGTACCAATGACTTAGTACAGATGCGCTTCCGACAATGCTATTATTATCCAATAAATATGCCTTACTTTAATCGCATGAAAGGTTCCAAAAGTAATATGGCCATCAAATTAGATTTGGATAAGGGTTTTGATCGCTTAGAAAGGTCTTATATTAGGTAAACCCTTCTCTTTTTAAAAATTTTTTTAAAATTTGTTAATCTCATAATGTTCTACATTACTACTACTACCATCTCCATTCTCATTAATGGCTCTCGAACAAATCTCTTCAGTCCCTCTAGAGGTATTCGACAAGGCGATCATATTTCTTGATACATTTTCATCTTGTGTATAGATGCCACGACTCAAGCCTATCGCACGTATTATCTTCTTTGGGCCTTAGTCCGCACGAATTTGTCTTTTGGATTATGCCACATCGAGCCCCAAAAGTATAAACTAGTGTCATGCCTTATATAGCTCTTTATTTTTCTCTTATTTTGATGTGGGATTCACCTAAGGTGACATGTGCACCCCTTCTTCAGAAGTTTGCCAACCTAGAAGCCCGACAGTCCTACTTGATCCTCCCTCCCGCCCTCCGTCATTGGCATCACAATAGAGCACTTATCTATTAAAAATTAAAATGTTCAATAGTGTTTCCACCAAAAACTTGATTCCTATTTCCACTATTAGATGTTGGTGCCAGGATTTCAAATGATTTAGGAAGTGGTGATGATTTACAGAAGCATCGAGTATTCATTGAGAAAGAAGAGATGAAGAAGAAAAGAGGAGACAAAGTCGAATGCGAGAGTTCGAACTCTACATTGTCTGAAGGAATAAATTATTTGCATCACCACCGTCCATCTAAAGCTTGATGGATTTAATCTTGGTCATCTATTTTCAGCATAAATAACACAGATGGCAAGCATCTTATTTTGTATCTTCCAGAACATTCTTGCCTACGCGTAATTATTATAGCTAAGGATATAATTTAGTTGTTAGAGTTTGTTATACAATAGCTAGTAAAAGAAAGACAAATGTACAAATAGGAATCTTTCTTTTCTTTATTCCTCTTATATATATATTGATGTACAGTGATCAATACAATACACAAAATCTTCAGCACTTCATTCTCATCATTTTTATTCCTAAAATTGAACATGGTATCAGAGCAGCACGATTCCTTCTAGTTTATATTCTTCTTCTTCTTTCACCCCTTCTGCATCATCTTTTCTGCTCCAATGGGTGATACATCAGTCATTGCTTCTGGGAAATCTCATGCCACAGGTGATGTCGTTCCTGATGGATCTGGAAAAACCTTTGCTGATTCATCTCACCCTCTCTATATTCATCCCTCACATTCCCCTGGAAAGCTCATAGTGAATTCAATCTTTGATGGGAAAGGGTATGGGGGATGGCGCAGAGGTATTCTTATTGCCTTGTCTGCTAAGAACAAGGTGGGATTCATATATGGCACCATTGCTCAACCAAAGATTTCTTCAGAATCTTTCAAATCTTGGTGTCGCTGCAATAACATGGTAATTTCATGGCTCTTGAACACTCTCTCCAGGGAGATAGCAGAGAGTGTTCTTTATTCCAAAACAGCAAGAGAAATCTGGTTGGAGCTTGAAGAGAGGTTTGGACAGAGTACTGGACCTCAGCTCTATCACCTTCAAAAGGAAATCAATAAATCAGTACAAGGAAATCATGATATTGCTTCATACAACACCAAGATGAAAAGGCTCTGGATGGGCTGGACAGTTTGGATACTTGTCAACACTGTACTTGTGAGTGTTCTTGTGGAGGTAAGACCAAGACATTCAAATCACAGCAGGATGGAAGGCTCATCTATTTCCTTATGAGACTTAGTGATGCTTACCCTGGACCTAGGAGTAGCCTGCTGATGCTTTCCCATTTACCCTCCATTAATCATGCCTACTCTTTGCTCATCAGGGATGAAAAGTAAAGATAGGTACATATCTTTCACTAATCCACACACATGGCATTCTTAGCATCCAAACAGCATAATGGAGCTCAAAGGTATAACTCTGACAAAAAGAATTTTGCAGAAGGAAAGAAAGTTGCTCAAGTCTGTTCTTATTTCATGAATCAGAATCATACCATTAAGAACTGCTATAGCCTCATTGGATTTCCTGCAGACTTCAAATTCACCAAGACCAAGAGGTTTGTTTCTGGAGCCAAAAGGCAATCCAGTTCTGCCTGCAGAAACTCAAGCAAATCAATTAGTCAATTCAGGAGAAATGCCTATGACTCAAGACCAGTATCAGTCTTTATCAACTACTTCAAAATGTCAAAATTGGCAATCAAGGAGAGCAGTCCAATGATGAAGCAGTTTCTGCTAATTGCGATGGTATTTATGCTACTCTTTGGCCTTCAAACTCTTCTAGATCTTTCATTAGAGTTTCTTTAAACTCAGTTTCATGGATATTGGACTCAGGGGATTCAGAACATATGACCTCAAATTTGAGGCTTTTGTTTAATGTGCAGACTTTTCCTAAACCTGTTTATGTCAAACTACCAAATTCTCTTAAGGTTTTAGTGTTTCAGTCAGGATATGTTGCTCTCTTGCCTAACCTCACTTTACAGAATGTCTTGTTTGTTCCTAGTTTCAATTACAACCTATTATCAGTCCATAAGTTGTGCACTCAATTCAGTTCCATCCTAATGTTTTCTTCTCTTGGTGCTATTTTGCATGCCCTTTCAATGAAGACCCTTCAATGAAGAGGCCAGTGGTGCTTGGTGAAGTAAGACAAGGTCTCTATATTTTCAATTCAAGTCATTTCAAGCCTAAAGCTGGAGTTATTAGTAGAATCAAGGCACTTTACCATTTTATTTGTAATCAGAATATTAGGAAATAGTCTTCAAGTCCTATTTTATCCTTAGTTTCTATTTCTAGTGATGTAAGCCTTTGGCATAACAGGTTGGGCCACATGCCCTTTTCTAATATGAAAAATGACAGTTCAGTTTCTTTTTCTACTTTTCCTTCTAATAATCATCCTTGTGATATTTGTGCTAAGGCAAGACAAGTCAAATTATCTTTTCAATCTAGTTCTATTTCTACAAAATAAATTTTTGAACTTATACATGATGACACTTGGGGTCCTTATAAGACTACCACTTATGAAGGGTTTAAATACTTCCTTACAATTGTCGATGACTATAGTAGGGCCACTTGGTCTTTTCTTCTCAGCACCAAGTCAAATGCTTTTCTAGTTCTCAAACAATTCTTAGCCATGACAGAAAGACAATTTGACACTAAGGTAAAAGTTGTCAGAACTGATAATGCTTTGGAATTAGGATCTTGTCCAAAGTATTCTGAATTCCTTGCTTCACAATGGATTATACACCAAACAACTTGTCCTTACACCCCTCAACAAAATGGAGTTGTTGAGAGAAAGCATAGACATTTACTTGAGACATGTAGGGCATTGCTCTTTCAATCAAATTTGCCCATTAAGTTTTGGGGGGGACTGCTTATTGACGGCCACTTATCTAGTTAACAGATTTCCTTCTAAGCTTCTCAAAGGAAAAACATCTTATGAAATCTTATTTGGAAAGTCTCCTGCTTATCATACACTCAAGTCTTTTGGATGCCTTTGTTATGCCTCAACTTTAGCAAAAGACAGAAAATTGGATCCTAGATCTATGAAATGTGTCTTTTTGGGGTATCCTTTTGGGAAAAGGGGATACAAGCTGCTTAACTTACACACTAATAGAGTTTTTATTTCCAAGGATGTTATTTTTCATGAGACAATATTTCTCTTTTCTGTTAAACAACCCAGTCAGATCTTTCCCACTAATAGTTCAACAATTGCTACTGATTTATTTCCTTCTCCTATTCCTCAACCTAATCATGGACAGGTCCTTTCCAACCCATTGCAGTCCAGAACTGACCACTCTTCTCCCTCTATTCAGCCTGCTTCTCCTTTCACCCCAATTCAATCTAGGAGAGTATCCACTTCCTCAATTCATACTCCTATCGTTCCTACTCATCAGAACTCCTCCTCACCACAGATTGCTTCTCCAGCTTCTTCTATTTCTCCCAGTTCTCCCTCTCCTGACACTCAACATGCACTTAGAAGATCTCTAAGAGAACATCATCTACCTAGCCACTTAAATGACTATATCTGTAATTCAGTATTTTTAACAGGTGTTTCTTCTAGTTGTTTCACTTCCTCTGTTTCCCCTAGTATTCTACCATTTTCAGCTTTATCTTATTTCAATCAGTCACTATAAATATTGTCTCCTATATTTCTGAACCAACCTCCTACTCCCAAGCATCTCTACATCCCGGTTGGCAAGAAGCTATGTCTAAAGAGCTACAAGCATTAGAAGCAAACAGGACTTGGGAGGTAGTGGAACTACCCAAAGGCAAGAAAGCCCTACTTTGTAAATGGGTCTACAAAGTCAAACACAAATATGATGTTTCACTTGAAAGATTTAAAGCACGACTAGTTATCAGAGAGGATATACAAAGAGAAGGAATAGATTTTACTGAGACTTATTCTCCTGTTGTTAAGATGATAACTATCAG